GGCTTGTCTAGTTCACTATGTATTGGAACTGTGTCTACCTCGTAAATCTCAGGTAGCCTGGCTCTCTCCTTATCTGTTGCTTTACGTTTCTGTGTGTCTATTTTTCAGTGGGCACTCAACATAAACTGTTGTAACGATTAGGACCTTCACTTTGCGACATTTTCTGGGAGACGGAAAACTTATCATGTCCATCATCATCATATAGCTGGTCCTGGTCCTTTGCAGAACGTCGCTCTCATCACAGTCTGCCTGAAGGAAACTCGGTCTCTCGCCAGTTCTCCTGCCTCATGCACTTTAACACTCAAGGAGTCACTTATATCATGTGCCCATCTTCGTGTTGGTCGGCCCCTGCCCCTCCTTCCCGGTACCATGCCTTCTGCTATAATTTTTTTTCAATTCGTCGTGGCGCTTGATATGACCAAACTATTTCAGCTTTCGTGAAAGGATGCTGTTTATTAGCTAATCTTCCTTGATGTTCAGATCTTTTAAGATGTCAATATTTCTCATCTTCTTTGTCCAAGATATTCTGATAATTTTTCTATAGCATTTCAGCTCAAAAGCCCCTATTCTCTTTCATAAGGACTGAGAGATAGACTCACATCCGTATGTATCCACAGTGAAGATGCATGCTCTCAAAATTCTAATTTTGATCTCCTTGCTGGTGCTTAACCATAGACTTTTAAGGCTGTTCCATCTCTGCATTGCTATGGCCATCCTCCTTTTAATTTATGTCGAACAGTCTCCATTGTTGTTTATTATAAAGCCTAGATCTTCAAAGTTTGTGACATTTTCAATGTCTTCATCATTTATTGTTATTTTGGGGTGACAGCCAGTTTTATCTGTGGACATCATTTTTGTTTTCTTTAAATTCAAGAACAGATTTTGATCTTCACTGTGTTTTTGGACAGCCAATTATCATGTTCAGCGTACTATAATGTTATTGCTTAAAACTAGGGCTGTACCGATTAGTGATTTTCACTATTCGGCCGAATACGAATAGCTGGACCAACTATTCGGCCAAATACGAATACGAATAGTGAATCATCATCATTATGTGCTTTACCGCCTGGCATGGGCGATTATGCCTCGCCACAATCTGCGATCTCCTGCAGCATGTATTAGTTCGTGTGCTGACACACCTCCATGCCATGCAACAAGACTGTCAAGAATCTTCTCTGGTTGTTTTCCTCTATCTCTCCTTCCACATATCTTTCCAGTGGTCACCACATGTTCCATTTTCCCTCATCTTATAATATGGCCAAAAAATGATAACTGTCTCCTTCTGATGTCTGTGAGTAGATGTCTTCGGGCTCCCGCCTCTATCAAAACCTCTCGGTTGCCTTTTTTTTTTTTTTGTCCAATGTATTTTAAGCATTGTTCTGTAAAACCACATATTTGAGGTCTCAAGAAATTGTTTGGCCTGTCTACCGATTGTCCAGGACTTACAGCCATATGTTAAAACTGGGTGTATGTGACAAGCAAGAATTCTTTTTCTAACCTTCAATGACAAAATTATATTGCATAAGATTTCTTTCTTTTATAAAATGCAGATTTAGCCTGTCCTATTCTGTTTCTTATTTCAGTAATGCATCTTCCATCTGATGTTATCCATGTGCCCGCCTACTTAAATTTCTGTACTTGTCCCAAAATAAAACTAATGACTTTTATTTCACATTTAGGAATAAATATTTTCTTTGTTTAAATAGATCTAAAAAAAAAAAAAAAAAAAAAAAAAAAAACATCCATAATGTCAAATGTACGCTGAAATTTTACTTCACAAAATGTAGTACAGAATAGTAAACATTTAAAAACATTTCATGTTTTACATCCTTCAGTCAGTCAGTCTGTGGTAACTAATACCTAGGAATTAAAGTATTCTTAGTTTTATAACAAGTAACTAAACTTGTAAATTGTCACTGACAGCTTGGTTAATCCATGAAAGCGGCATTAGCTTTAAAAAAAAAAAAACGTTCCATTTTGTCAGCATTAAGGCAGCTTCTTGTCTCACTGAAGGTATTTCCAGCTGAACTAAACAGACGTTCACTTGGTACGGTCGTAGGTGGTGCACAGAGATAACGCTTGACAGTATGAACCAAGGTGGGAAATCTTGATATGTTTTATTTCTACCAGTCCATATTTCCCCCAAGGAATCTTTTAAAGTTTGTTTTGTTATAAAGTCGCTAGTACTTTCTGGAGGAGGCAGCAAGATATCATAGTTTACCCTTTAGAAAATACCCTTCTTTTGTCATGTATCCAAACAGACCACAGCTACGCGATCTTAATCAAAGTTAATACAGAAAGGACTGTCTTCGGATCTGATTTCTTTCACAAATGGAGTTAATATGGCTAATTTAGCGGTACACTGAATAATACAACAAGGCTAATTTGATAGCGCAAATGCCGTGGGTTGGTAGCCGGCGGTGGTTGGTGACTCCTAAGTGACGACTGGGAGAGATTACAAGGATGTGGTTGGTCATGCTCCTCGGTTGTTACATTAATCCCATCTTCCACAGTGGACTGCAGTTTGCGTCCTTACCTTAGGGAAATGCCCCAAAATGACCGCGCTTTGCGATTGCAGAAGGTTTCTAGGCTGTGTTCTTGTTTAATGATCATCCTTGATGTGTTAATCCTGCGAGCCGCAAACCTGGAGGAAAACAGTGACCACCACCACCATTGATTGGTCGTTTTACCTAAACAACCAAGGGGAGAGGAGGGAGGGTTAGAAAGGAATCAGCCTATACTTGGCAGAGAGGATTAGGAATAACGGGAGAGCAACTAGATTATCTCGCAGACAGACCGGGGAGGAGGGGTGGGGACCCACATTAGTAAAACGGGTTAGGATGTTGATGTATATTTGCATGGTTCAAATGTCTTTTTCAGAGTGTGTATGTGTGTGGAAGGAGGGAAGAAAAAAAAAGGGGGGGGGGCCTATGCTGACACTTTTTTTTTTTAAGTAGTCCTTAGAGGATTACTGACCTTGTATTTCCTGTCTGCGGTTTTTTTTTTTTAAAGAAATATAAACAAGTGAAAGTTGCATTCATAAAAGTCAGATTATGCCCTATGAAAAAAGTATTGATAATCTAGGAATTTCTGAATCACTGATGTCTTTAACATTAACATACATACTCAGACATTCTCTCTCTCACTCTCTCACACATACACACACACACTCTCTCTCTCTCCCTCACATACAAACACACACACACATATTATAGATATATATTATATATAAATATTTATATATATATATATATATATATATATATATATATATATATATATATATATATATATATATATATACGGACTTCATCGTTCGATTCACAAGTGCACGTTTTTACGGACATCACTGGAAATCGTCATTGGAGAAACGGAGACAAAGTTTTGTACAAGGCTTAAAGCATGCGGCTAGTCGTACTGCAGAGTGACCGTGATTCATAGGATAAGACCCCATACGATGAAACCTTTAAACAAATGTATAAAGTCTTAGCAGCATTCGCATTGCACACACAGTTGAGATAGCGAAAGATAACACTGTAAACAATACAACAACCCAAAAATCGAGAATACAGTAATAGGTAATGTAAAAAAAGAATAACATCTACCAGACTTCTGCTGCGTCAGTTTAATAATTTTGAGTTTTATTTATTTTATTTTTTTTAAGCATTTTTATCAAATTGCTGATATTAGCTTTCTGTAGTGCACAATTCGTTTCCTGAGTTACTGAGTTTAATGTTTGGTGCAGCCCCGAAGCTGTGTTTTTTCGTATGTCATGCCTTTAATTTGTGCATCTGTTATGTCGTGGTATTTAATATGGCCGGTAGCCGGTTTACGTGTGAGCTGGTGAAATACCTTATGTAATAAATCTGCGTGTGCATAGACAACTTATCATGCCCGACTACTTCCAACAACAACAAAATCTGCATTTCTTATGGTGACTGCTGGCGTTGGCGTCTCTAAGAACTGCCATATGCATTTACTGGTTGCGCATATTTCTGGATTGTTCCAGGACTAGTTGTTTGTACAATTTTAAGATGGGTCAGCGAGGAACATTTAATGTGATTATCACTGGCACAGGAAAGGAGCAAGTATGGGGAAATAGAAAAGAGCGAAAAAAGAAAAGACCGACCCCCCCCCCCCCCTTTTTTTTTTCCTTCCTACTTTTACTCTCCTCTTTTTGAAACCGACTAAAACTGTGAACTGATATTTTTGACATCCATTCTTATTTTGACACTGACAGTTATTGTTTCAACGCTGTAATTATGTTAGCTTTATCTTCATTCCGGCGTCTGTGGCTTAGGCGAATGGGTTCGATCCCAGCTGCGGGCAGTGGCAACATACTAAATGTAAAATTGCCTATTGAAATCACAAACAGCCATAAAGTGCTTGTATTGATTCTGCACCGTCCTATAAAACACGTACAACATCATTTTTTTAAAATTTAACTTCGCAGTTAAATCTGAGGGAAGTGGCTACTATCGTCCTATGGGATGTTCCAGATATATCACCCACTTTGGGAAACTATGATCTAATTTGTAAAGTGACTGACATTCATCCCCACAAGGACATCACACCAAGCGGTAAACACCATGTGATACAAAGTGCTACCAAACATTCATATGACGATTACCCGGGGACAAGTCCCAGAAACCCAGTTAAACCCATAGGTTACATTATGTTAGCGCCCCTGGCAAAAGCCGAGGTCAAGATTTGAAACAATGAACAAATTGCATCCTACATTGGGACGCGCCTGACTTATAACTTAATGTGTGAATTCCTGTGTATATCTCTTATATCTGCTTTAACTTACTTTAACGCTGTAACAAATTAACTTATTCGTACGTCTTTCTGAGCAAAATCCGAGACAAGTAGTTCCAACCGTCATCCTGTAACTTCCCAGCAACATGGCCCACTTTCTATAACTCATGTTCCTGTTTTTAACTTTTCAAGTTCATGTTCGAGAACTGCAATATATTAACTTATGTGTACTTCTTCCCCAGAAAAATCCGAGAGAAACGAGGATGTCAGGGCTACATGTGTGGCTACTCACACATGAGCGGCCACGCTGGGAATCTAGCTATGCAGCACGCCCTTAAAAAACTCATCTTGGAATGCGCTGTTAACCCGAACTGTTCGCCACGTAAGTCCCATGTTGTTATACGTTCTTCTGTCTGGCCTTTCTTATTGTCAGTTGTTACCCCTTTCATGCTTCAGATTTCAAAGTGCACACTGTTAAATATTTCGACCTCTGTATTTGCGTTTAATTAAACTCTTAAGTGAGCATAACAGCTATATATTAAAGTGATCTTCGGCTGTTTTTGAATGAACACTCCTGTGTGGGGTTCCTGGGCCCTATTATAGGAAAAACAAGAATAGGCCCACTGCCTATTCGAAGGATGTCGTAAAAGTCGACTAATTATGAGCTTCCTTCAAAATCAGAGAACATCTGCGTGAGAGGCAAGGAACAAACAGCCTGCATACAAATGAGTCAGATCTGTAAAACTGATGCACACGAAACACTCAAGTTAGGGAACAGGACTGCAGTCCAGAAGTGGATGAACAACCAGAACTTTCCACCAGAGCTTACAGCTGGTCAGCGCGAAGAAGAAGAAGAAGAAGAATGCACGTCAAGCTTACTTGATTACACATATATGGTGTCTTCTGCATCCTCGGATAATGTATGTTTTTTTTTTTTTTAACTGATCTTTCGTGCAATCAGCCAAATACATGTCAGGCTTAACGCTGTTTACCCACTGATATGCTGTAGCTTAGGGTGTCATCAGTTCAAGTGTTTCCTCTTAAAATGAATGGAAAAAGCAATGCAATTATGTCAGTCTTCTACAACGGACAAAGAGTAGTAATTATCTGTAGTACCGTGTGCTCACAGCTACATGTATTTTACTACTTGTCTCCTTGTTCTTCTGTTTTAACACTTTCGGTCCCCAACAGTCGTTATTCTACCTTGTTTTGTTCTCTGCATTTTCTAGTTAGAAGTGTTAAATGTTTTGCCTAGATAATCTACACAGGAGTTATTACAAGACAGAGAGATAGACAGAACGAGAGAGAGAGAGAGCAAGAGAGAAGAGAGAGTTAAACTAACATGTATATATATTACGTTATTATAGCAAGTATCTGCTACACAGGGTGTATGTTTAATAACTATTTTTTTTTTACATATTACCCTTAAACACCGGTATATGGCAGTGATAATCTAAACTAAAGGTTACATGCCGCTTAAAACATGTCGTTAAATACAGATTATATTATGGTGTGCAAATAACTGTTTTCAAAATGTCCTCTATTACAGTTATTAAACATGCACCTTGTAGAACAGTAGTTCTCAACCTGTTGGTCGCAACCTCTTTGGGGAGTCGAAGGACCCTTTAACAGGGGTTTCATAAGACCATCGAAAAAACAGATAGTTACTGAAGTTATGAAGTACTATCGAAAATAATTGTATTGTTGGGGGGCAACCACAACACGAGGAGCTGTATTAAAGTGTCGCGGCTTCAGGAAGGTTGAGATTTATTGCTATGTAAAAAAAATGCACGCAAAGTATTATGTCTTCGAAGAGATCAAGAAACGTATTTCAATTGTTTTGCACAGAGAGAGTTAAAAATATACTGATGGGAGAAGTCTAAGGCAAGAGATAGACAGCGATACAAATTGGATGACATGCCACCACGTAGACAAACATGATATAGAAATAGGTAATGCAACAACCAAGCGTCCTTGAATTCATAATATTCAACGTAGCAGTCACGAGTATTCTGTTCAACACTATTAAAATCTACAACAGAATTACCCCGTGATCATAAACATACCCTGCCGCTTATTACCACGTGATAATAAACATACCACGCTGCATTTTACCCTGAAGCTTTATCACTCACAAAACACAGGCCAATCATTTCTTGCTGCTTTACTCTCTACACCCGGGTCACCTCACACCTTCGTGTTTTAACAATTTACTTCTGCGCTACATTGACAAAACCAAACCGCACAGGAAACCCGGAACAATGAACACTCATATTGATTGTTATAAATCGACACTCGACACTTGAAAACATAAAGAGCTTGTCTGGGGAAGTAAAACAGTGGTTCTTGCTGACGTGGCTTATGCTTAAAGACAAGTTTTTTGTTTTGTTTTTTGTAGAGATTAAATGCACTACAACATAATTCTCAATCTAGTGATGGTAAAACTGAGAACAGGTGTGTCTGTGGAACGATGGAGGTGGGTCTGATGTATCAGTGGGGTGGGGGGGGGGGGGGAATTTGCTACATGGTTAGCTAATTGAAAACGAGGGTGCAGGAAGAGGTAGTATTCTCAAATACATAAAGGAGAGACTGTGCTTTAAGCTAGACAAGGTTTTTGTGTGTATGTAGTAATAAATATCATAATAGCTTCCTCGAATAGGCAAAAACACCAACTGAAAATGGCTGGAAAGTTCCAATGTGGTAGTGGCTATGAGTATACCTTGGGAGGAATACTTCCGAGCGGACTAGAGATGTGACCTAACTTTGAGTGCACCAGGGGGGGGGGAGGGAGAGAGGGGGGCGGGGGAGGGAGGGAGGGGGGCGGGGGAGGGAGGGAGGGGGGCGGGGTGAATATCAATAATAAGGTGGCAGAGTTATTCAACAAGAAGAAGAAAACAACATAATAAAACATCTCCTAACTTCCATTCTTATCGCTGAAGAGGTTTAACAAAGAAAGGCTGACAGGGAGTACTTCCTTGTCTATATTTATAACTGCATCTTTCTGTTTGCCTAATTATTGATAGTATATTTTTAAACGGAAGCTGGGAGGAGATACATCTCTCTCTCTCTGTCTATTTCCCTCCCCTTTCTCTCTCTCTCTCTCTCTCTCTCTCTCTCTCTCTCTCTCTCTCTCTCTCTCTCTCACACACACACACACACACACACATCTATCCCAAAAAAAAATTCAGGAATATATGTATCTATAAGAAAATATCCTGTATGATTACCATCGCTTTTGTCTTAACAAAATAAAAGGCCAGTTTTTGCTCCGTGTCCCTTAAATTTTTTTTTACCCCAGTTTTCTATGGCAATTGATACTATGTCATTAGACAGCGACATATAAATAATGATTTGAACAAAATGAAACGATCTCTAAGGAATTATGCGTATAATACAATTTTCTAATAATTCCGCGTCTTTGGCTAGGCGTTGCATTCGTAATTCCTAGCTACCTGGTTTAATTCTAGCGGCGGTTAATTCGACAGCAGACCACCTTGCATTGATTTCAAAAGGGATATTACCCGCCGACCGTCCATGAAGCAATGGCAGACTACTGAGCGTAAAATTGCACATAAAGGAACGACATCCAACAAGTATTGCGGTTTATTGTGCAATATCTTGCAAGGATGCGCAAGTATATTATAGTTCAGTCCACTTAATGTACGAACCGAAAATTGCCCAAAATGCTAATTGCAAATATATTATAATTCAGTCCACTTAATGTACATATTAAACGTTGTCCAAAGTTTTGTACGCAAGCATATTATAGTTCAGCCCACTTAATCACTAGAGCTACGGTTGTCACAGCTTTATGTTCTGCGGAGAGAGACTGAGCCCTACGGGATACAATTCGGTGCAATGAAGTCGATCCTCTCACCTTTACCTCAGTCCACTTAACTGTACGCACTGAAAATTGTCCCAAGTGCTATGGTCAGGTCGCGTACTGTTGGTTAATAATACAAAACGTAGAATAACATCTGTTATGTGCAATTCTTATATAACCACGTAAAATTTGAAATTTAAACAAGTAAAGGACTATTTTCACGCATTCAGGTGTATTGGGCATGTAGGGCTAGACTTATCTTTTAAAGTCAAATGTGCACTTTATGGGTGGTATGGTTAGCCTGGCGCTGGCCGCCTTGACCTCCTCCCGTGACTTTTACCTGGCACCAGTTTAACGCTGGGTCGACCTTAGTCTTCACCTGTAAATGTGAACACATTCTTTGCCGTATCGGCGATTTGAACCCAGTTCATTAGTATTTTAACTGCCCCATTATCGTTTAGAAGCACGCCTAATAAATGGACAGGCTGGTCGAGGCCGTCATCATTATTCAATAATGTGTTCGGATTTTACTTTACAGTGTTAACTGGAGTTTAAAGACGAAATGTTTCACACAAAGCCAAATGTCCAGAAGTAGAAGCCCAACCCAGATTTGTCTAGTGTTTACAGACGACGAATGCTTAGAACGGTTATAGATAGTAACGTTTTCCGGCCCAGGAAGAGAGGGACTTCCCTTGTCTTTCATGCCTCCTCGTGTTGCAGGGCACGTGCTATGTTGCGGGGGTGTCACCTTAGTGACCGCCCAGCAACATGTGTGATTTTACTCGCTGTTGTCACCGGCCGACGATATCGCCTGTTCTTCATTCCACGATGTGAGCGCTTTTAACGGTCACAAAACATATAGAATTGGCCCTAACCCCAACCCACTAACCCACGACTGCCTGCAGCCTATGTCGCACGACTGTATATAGCTTATATTATAAGATGTATACAGTCGTGAGACAAAGGCTGCACTTTTTCGTATGATGTAGGCTAACGCTCCGGAAAACGTTACAAGCACCCTTAGAACAATATTAAGATTGCCTTTGTTTTTTGTTTTTTTTTCCGGAATCTCCCAGTCTGTAGAAAGGTAGGTCCTCCTATAGTTTCATCATCATATTCAGAAACCACAACTGCCCTTAAGCGTCGTGGAGAGGAATAATTTGCTCTCCAGTGCACGCCTGCTGCCACTGGCTATTGTCATGCCGTGAAGGCGTAGCGTTTCTTTAATGTTGTCGATCCATTATTTTCCGCTGCCGTCCTTTTGCTCTTGTAGCTGATCTTCTGAGATGTGATACTTGTGATGTTATTTGAAATAGCTGCATTCTAGCGAGATGGCCAAACAACTTGATTTGCTGTTTTTCGATAAATCTAGTACAAGCTGTAGTTCCCACAATCTGTCTGACAGTCTCATTGTTCTCTCGATCTCGGATTGTAAGGTTGGCAGCTTTTCTCGGGCATCTCATCTCATATGATGATTTTGCATGTATGGACTTTAGTTAATGCCCATGATTAGCTGTGGTAGCTTAAAGTTAGAATGAATATGCTGTTTATAATCTGTC